CTCGGGCGGTGGTAGACGCTAATGCACACTGGCACACTCGATATCTTTACTTTCGCTGACGCTGCCGGACGCTCGAAATGCTGTTGGACGCCGGTAGACGCTGGTCGACGCTGCCACATAGTGTGATGCAACCTTATCGTCAGAAACGAAGCCCAAGCACAGCCCAAACATGTACAGTTGTGGCTCACGTCACGAGTGCCTACAGTGCCTGTCTGAAGACCTTCCTCTAGTGTCTCACCCTTCACGTCGCGCGTTGTGTTAGGCTGCGTTCATACTTTGCGGCAGCGTCCACCAGCGTTCTGAGCGCTAGATCGATATCGTCCTGAAAAGTATAGATATCGATCCAGCGTCTGACAGCGTCCTCCAGCGTGCGCCAGCGTCTACCAGCGTCTCGAGGACCTAGGAAGTATAGGTGTCGATCTCGCATCTGCCAGCGTGCACGAGCGTCTATCAGTGTCCGGGAGAATAAAGTATGGTGTGATAGGAGAGTAGCAGACTGCTGGTAGGGAATATGGCGCGATAGGATGGTAGCAAACAGCTGGGAGAGTATGGGGAGATAGGAGGGTGGTAGACTGCTGGTAGAGAGTATGGCGCTATAATATGGTTCTAGCTGCTACCCTATTGTGGTGCAATACTTCCCTCTCCCGGACGCTGGTAGATGCTGGTGCACGCTAGCAGACGCTAGATCGATACCTATACGTTCCCAGGCCTCGAAACGCTGGTGGACGCTTGTAGACGCTGCCGCAAAGTATGAAGGCAGTGTTAGGGTGTCCCTGGCGATTTTGTTCACCTTCGTCTCGACGAGTAATCAGCTAGCATCTATTGTGACGTTACATGTGGACCCCGCAGCCCACGAACTGCATTCATGTCTCACAGCCCACGTATTGCAATCAAGGAATGTGTATTTAAGCTCCTAGTGGACGATCTAATTCTTGATGCCTGTTGATTCCCTACTCGAAGCAGGGAAGAGCATTGTTTTGTCCTCAACAGTTATGCTAACAAATAAGCTTCTTCGCCCTCACCTCTAAAAAGCAAGAACCGACCTTGCACCCTTATTGCAATAGCTTGTAGTTGTTGCCAGCAAAGCCCGAAAGACACCGCCAACACACTTCCTCGCAGAGCAAACAGGTGTTTTTCCCAACTAGCGCTCGCGACGGTCGCGATGTTCCTCGGCCACGACGGGCAAGACATCACGAAAAGAGACGGCACGAGACCCAGCGATCGCCAAGGACCGTCGGCAATAAACAAGCTCCCTCGGGAGCCCTCCACCCCCCGCTTTTGCTCCGATATGGGGCGTTATGTTGCCTGGTCGATCCTGAGCAGAATTCAGTTTCATTTAAAGTTCTAAGGTGGATTAGGGCCTTCTTACAACCAGAAGGTAAAAGTTTAAAGCGGGTTTACAAGCACGGATCCCTCTTTAGGCCTCCTACAAAACGTCAAAGAAAACAGCGTAAGGTATTATGGTGAAGTTGGTGAGTGTGCGCTTTAAGTACATTTTCCGAGTGTTTTTCCAAATATGGAAATGTGTTTAGCATGAAGCTGGAGCGGCTGCTAAGAAGGCGAAAAGAAAATCGGTGAGGAATGGTATCAGTTCTTGGTGAAAAACTTCCAGTTGAAACTGCATCGGTTTCGTTTCCGATTTCAGTACAGCACTTTTGCGTTGAGTCGGAGGTGGCATGCTTACCACGCGCATCCGTCGAGGGTCAAATTTCACCAACATTCTACCCTTCGGGGATGGTTAATTGATACCCGATTCGTTTGGGAGGAAGAAACATCGACTTGTACATCGGTTGGCCCCTGTAGGCTATTATTTCGGCCACATCGAACTCAACAAGCTACTACGATTCTGGAGGGAAGCATAATATGTATTGCATCTGGATATGGGATCGATCAACGGCGGAAGCTTGATCCTTTCTATCCGTGTGCCGCTCCTGGCAATAAGGAGATTCTTCCAAGTTGGGCTTGATCTCAGGTGCATAGCCCATCAACTGCTCGAGTGACCCATTTTCTAAGCAGGGGCTTTACCAGTAAAATGGTGGTGACCTTCCTATACAGCTTGAAATTTTTCAGCAATGGAATATATAATGCACACACAAGCCACTTATTGGTTGGCCTGAATCATCAACCCCGGAACACCCCGGAATATGTCACTTTCTCGCTCGTAAATCGCCCGTCATACATCCTGTACCATAGGGCCCAATGAAAGAAACGTCACGCATTCGTAGGTCATCAGTATTAGGTCCACATGAGAGTTTATAGTTGCCAGGTGACCTTTCAGTATGGAAAAAAAGCAGAAGAAACCGACTGAAGCGCCCCGTTTAAGGCTCTCTCTTTGATTTTCAGCTTGGGGCATTTCCCAACTCTGAACGCTAGTTTTCAGTGGGAACATTCGCTGAAATATGGATGGGGAGGGGTTGCCATAAAGAGTGGTGGTCTCTTTCCTCAGCACTCTCGAGCCATTATAAAGTTCTAACCATTAGGACTGGGGCCGGGCTACCATGCACATTGGGGAAATTCTATCTATCAGGTTCTTGCGAAATATTTATCTTCGGGTACCTCTCTCTCTC